TAATTCAATGAAATGCTTCCATTGCTTATAGCAAGAGAAACTGTTTACCGTACTTATCGTTTAATAAATTTACACACGTTGCCGAGTACAGATAATTTTTCATATCATACAAACGCCCACTTCTGACCCGTGCAAATCACTACGCTCTTAATATGATATAAGTTTCTTATGCTTTCAATTGATCTTATTACCAATTTTCATCTTTTATGTTTTTTTTATAATTTATTTGCAGTAAATTTAAATTTTTAATATAGAATTCGACGTAGAATTTACAAAAGAAGTTTGCAAGAAGTCAAAGTTTTTAAGAAGTCACCCAGTGCATAGTTGGAAAGATTCGAAGCACATCATTTCGAAGAATAATTCACTGAATGCCTGTCGTCCTCAGGAGAATATGTCATCTTCTCGGAATATTCCTTTTCATTCATTTTATCTCTGTTTCTATTATTTTTTTAATATTTTATTATTTATTCTATTCTATATTCCACTATATATTCTTTTTTTTCATTTATATATTAAAAAGTAAATATTTTGGTTTCAGGATACATTTATAAAGAGATAAGTTTATTCACTTTTTATTCAATAATCTTTGAATTGATTAAATTTGATATAAATATATATTTTTTCAAATATACATATATGTTTATGTATTTTGAAATTTATCACTAGAAATAATAATCAACAATCAAAAACGACCAACAGCAATAATCTGAAAATATATAATTAATGTAGTTATACTTACATAAAAGAATTTATAAAATATATTATATTATATATTATATATTATATATATTATATATATTATATATTATATATTATATATAATAATTTATAATATATATTAAATTATACATATTGATAACTTTCAGCTATATTATTACTATACTTTTCGTAATTCTATTAATTCTATTTTAATCACATTTATTTCTTGATCAATTGAAAAATACAATTAAAACTTTTAATAAATTATGAAAAAATAAAAATTTAAAAAATAAAAAAAAATAAATAAACGTAAAGTGGAACAAGTTGCAAATGATTGCAATTTTAGTAATTTATTATACAAAAGTTCAAAGTAGACGTATTTTATTTTAAATAAATAAGATTTTTTGGAATTTCTCTTTTTTTTTATAAATGAATTTTTTAGAAAGTTCTAAAAGAAAGTTTTATATCAGATTTATATTTTATTCTTAAGAAAAAATAAATAAAAATCCTTCGAATTTTGCACTTATAAAAGTGTAATTCTTTATTCTTTATATTTTAATTTATCTTCAATAAAATTGATAATTTCATTGTGAGAAGAATAAAAGATAAATCTTATAATAATTTTATAAAAAAAATATTGGTAGAAAACAAAGACAAGATAATTATGTAGTTGGAAAATTTTAATAACCCTCGACAATATAAACTAGCTACGACACTGTGAGAAAGTCACAGAGAAAGAGAAGCAGACATTGTCGTTTTCGTCTTGTCTCTCTTATAACCACGAGTCATGTTGACATGCATGCTTATATACAAATAACTGCGCATTATTTCTATATAAAAGATGCTCCAATAATATTTCAATAATTTTTAAGCATATAGTCATATACTTGATATTTTTATCTAAAGGAGGATGATGCTACTTTTCAAAAAATTTTTTCATAAAATGTAAATGATTGATAAAAAATTCATTAATAATTATTCATTCAAAGATTCTCAAGTTTTATTTTAATATGCATAATTTTCTAATTACATCGCGTTTTATGAAACGCAACTTGTCGCTGAATAATTATGCACACTTGAATATTGCAACTTAAGATACGTGTCTTGTATAACGATACCACGGAAGTGATTCTGGATGCAATACGTGACTAATACTACATTATTAATTAGTATTATAAAAAATGTTTTGTGAAATTATTTTTTTTTAACATTTTATATATGAAGTTTTTTCCAAATTTTAAAGATGGTTATCGTTTATGAATTACGTTGTATAAATGTAAAAAATAATAAACAAAATGATTATTGGCAATTAATTAAATAATTCAAGAGTTTAATCAAAGAAATTAATCAAGTGTATATGGAAAGAATGTAATTTTTCATGATCACATTCTTGCGAAGATATTCGTAAGTGGAAACAAAATATACGTGAAAAAAGCCATCATTCGGAATAAAATGTGCTGGTATCTAGAATCAGAATGTCGTTCGTTACAAACACCGAAATCACATTTACAATTTAATTACTGACATATCAATTACTCTCTCAACTTTTTTACAAATAGTATACATAGATTTATAATTGTATACAACTCTATTACAATCTACAGTTATTTGATTTTATCAAAATTAAAAATTTTTTAATTATATATAAAAATAAAAACAAAGTGATGCAGTTTTTAAGATTTAAATTTCTTTTTCCATATTTTATAATCTTGTAATATTAAATAATAACATTAAATTTGAGATTTGTTTATATATATATATATATATAAAGAACTGTTTTTATAGAAATACATGTCTCTTTTCTAAATAACCTTCGAGTATATATCGTTGACGCAGAAATTATATGTCATGAATCTATCAATTTCATTCTTCTCTCTTCCGTGAAGGAAGAGAATTGCGGGTCTATAAAATAGCCATTTAAATTAAACGGATTGAATATTCAATAAATTTCAAATGATTTTTATTTTTTTAACAAATTTATAGATAATATTATAAGTAAAAAAGAAAACTAAGTATAGTATTTAAATATATTTTTAGTGTATAGATAATGATTATTATTATTAATTATTAATTATCATTTAGATTCGTGTTTCATACATATCAAAATATATTGTGATATGTATAATAATTGTCTTCTATAATGTTTATCAAGTAGGCGTTACATTATAGAAAGAATTTATTCAATATCGTAAAAAATATTGTATTATTATTATTATTATTATTATTATTATTATTATTATTATTATTATTATTATTATTATTATATATAATTAGTGTTATATTTAAATTTATTCTTTCAAAATTTCTTTCTATTTTTTAAGAATGAATTTTTTCTTTTACAGTTCTAGATGTTCTTTTCATCTAATTTGCAAACCTGTTTATTGTATCTCATTTTTGAGTTTCTCGAGCACGATATCAACGATATTTAAAGAATGCATCGTCATTAATATGTATGTCAAGCATAGTGAATTGAGATATACTTTCCCTGCTTTCGCGCGTATCCATCGTCCAAGACGAGTTCACTAGCAATCGTAGTATTGTCCGATGTGGCCAGTAGTGAAACCGGAACTCGAGAAAGTTCCAAAAAGATTATCAAGTCGAAAATTGCTTTATCTATATTCACATGTACTTATATATATATTGAATCATAGATGCAGATCGTAGATTCATTATACGCATTGAAGAAAAGAATGCAACCTAAAAATAACATTCGAGGATGGCAGATGATCAAAACAAAAATTGTGCAATCATCTTTTTCCTATTTGATTGTATAATGAATGAACAGATATATGCGAAAAAAACCGGTTCTTTTACTGATGCTGAATCATAGCTAAAACCTGTTGACTTCTTTTGTGTTCACATTCACATCAGTTTCATGATGATATTCATCCAATTCCTATGCATGAGGAAAAACATTAACAATTCGCACAACAATAAGCGGATTTTTTCTTTTAACAATATTTTATCATGTTATTTTTTCCGTCAAGGTATGATACTACGTCTATTCTTTGGAAATTCCAAGAAATTAATTTAGTATTGAATCACTCAATTTAATTATCGATTTTAAAATGAAAAATCTTTATCTATCTTTTAATTTTTTATTTCTTAATTTTTAATTTTTATTTGTATGATTCCAGAGATACTTTTAATTTTGACGATTAAAAGTGGAAATTCTAAGAAGGAAGTATGATCGGTATGATTATATATAAGAATTTCGCAAAGGAAAATCGACTAAACATTCTTTATTGTGAGATCCATTTCTGGACTATTCGCATGGAAAATATTTATTCCTGTTAAACTCTTCAAGCTATTTTCATTCGGTGATTTTGTAATTTGGAATTATTTTCTCACGCACAAACAATTACGTCCGCAATTTTTTTTTTAGATACAAAGAAGGTAAGACGAGTCCATATATCGCAGTTTAACGTGATACGTGTTACATACGCACACATATATAGCATCCTGTTGTAAAGTCTCGTCCTAAATTTCTCTTAATTTCATAAAATCTCGGAAATAAGCAATTTTCGTGTCTATTCACCGAATAAAAACTCTCTAATGGAATATAAAAATGCATCGATGTCCTTCGATTTGTGATATTGTATTACGCTCGATCTTGTGAAAATTAAATTAATTGCGGTTGCAGGATTGATTACAGAAAAATTACGTAGGCTAGAGGGATATAAATGGATCTCGTCACAAGAATACATCTTTCGCCCTCGATGTTCCACAGTAAAAGAGGATAGACGGCTTTGGTCTCGAGTCTCGATCGTGGCTGGTACCGCCATCCTCTTATCCCTTCTCATTCTATTGAAACGTCTGCAATCGCTGATCTCGCTTCTGTTTTTATTCCGTTTTTATTAAAAATTTTTTTGTTATTTCTTTTTATTTTCTTAACAAATGTTTAACAAATTTTTATAATTTTATTCTCTAAAGAAGATGAAATTCTTTATCAACTCTAACAATTAACATCAATATTTCAGCAGCAGTAACAATAGCTTTTACGATTATGAAGAGTGAATGGATAAAACTGTAAACGATAGAAGATAAACGCTATCATAGAATCTTTAATGGCAATCAGTCGGAAACTCGAACGAAAGTAGATGAGGATAGAGGACCATGGTCTCGACCGTGGCTGGTACCACCACCTATCAAGCCTTCTCATTCTACCGAATAATCTACCAACACCGATTCGACTCCCACGACTGGTTCCGCCAGTCGAGTCGGTTGAGATCGTTTGCACTCGGTCCCCTCCAATAGCATTCGCTGCTTCCAAGCTTGCTGCTCGACTTCATTCGGTTTCATTCGGTTAATCAACGTGCGCGCCGATCAGTCCACCATGAGCCGTTGAGCGGTTCGCGTTTTTTCAGTGTTTTTATTTCTTCCTTTTCTCTTTAATATCTCCCTTTTGCTCGTGGACTCATCGCTGTTCCCTGTTACTCATTTGCGAATCGATCTCAATCGTGGGCATGTGTTGCGTGCAATCCGTCTAATTTTTCTGGATATACGTGATAAACAGAACGTATAGGGTAAGTTTTAAAATTCCATCGTAATTGCATTTTTTTTTTTTTTTATATCCCATAAATGGAATTTCATAAATCGTTTGCTATCCCTATTTGTTTAGCTGCAACTAGCTCAAACAAATTGAATGCGCAAATTTGCTCGTGCAGATTCTTGATTCGAAAGTCGTCGTTTGTGCGTGATCCGTTTCTAACCGTTGAGATCGCAGTTGTCCTTGCAACTTAATGCATCTGAATCGAAACGGATCGGATCATTGGAAGCAATGCTTCTCATACAGAGAAAGAAGAAAAAAAAACGAAGCACGTTTACAGTTTCACTTTTCATTGACCAACATTATGATTATTCGAAAGGTATACAGAGCAAGATTACGTTATGTTCTTTGTAAGTGAAATCCTCGGTTCTTTTACACGTTCTACTTTCTATCAGCGTTGTGCTATTTATTTTTTTTTTTTTGAAAATAGTTCGTCTTGATTTTGCGGTTTTTTAGAAATTTATCAGATTTTGTCATTTCTGGTACATATTTAAGTATAAACATCATCATATATTTAGATAATTCTAAAAATAAAATGCGTCGTATATTTCATGTCTTTGTATAAATGTAGTTGTATAAATATTCAGAATTTTTAATGATTTTAAATTAAAATATTGGAAAATATAAAAACTATTGATAGCTTTAATTGATAATAAATAGATCTAAAAATCATAGAGATTATTCTTGCATATGTAGATTAGACTCATATCGGTGCCAAGAGGTTTCGATGTGAAAAAATAATGTCAGAGGTCGACGCTTAAAAGAGCACATTGCGTCTTATAGAATTGAATCGAATGATAATAAGTTGATCGGCGCTTTTATTTAATTTTTTATCAATGCAATTAAATAACTATTAAATGACGCAATATTTCGTCATAAAGAATTTCTGTGACATCGTTTAGAAACATGCTCATATGATGAACTAGATTTTTTTCATGCTTAGAAATATAATAATAATGATCACTCGCATTATGCAATGATTTGCAGTTATTGAAAGAACATTAAATTTCTATCTTCGCTTTTTTAAACGTCCTATATGACTAGGAAGTCGTAATACAATACTCGCATGGTGACCACAGTAATGATAACTGAGAAGAATATGACTAATGTTTAAATAGTCATATAGAGCAAGGAAAAGAAAAGGGCTATAATTGAAACATTTTTAATTATTAAAGAATCATCGACTTGTTGTAATAATTATGTTACTTAACAATTGCTGTTCATGAGAACAGACATATCTTTTCAATCAAAATGTGAGAAACGGATTTAATTGGGACAATGAATTTCCACATTGCCATTAGAAAGCAAAAAAAAAAAAAAAAAAAAAAAAAAAAAAAAAAAAAAGATGCATCGTCTCGAATCGATAGAATGATCCGTTCGTTGATTTATTCGGAATGTTCCTTTTTTTATCGATAATATAATTGCAATCCATAATTGATTCTTTTTTTTCTTTTTTTTTTTGGAAATGGATCAATTAAAATTATTCGTGTTGTCAGAAGTCCGAGAGAAAGTGCGTCCAAGCAATTTCTAATTATCCGCATCCGCTGGAAAAATAGTAGCAATTATGGTTCGTCTTGTTGAATATATGGTTAATCATAGAATGCTGCTTGATTCTTCGGCTAATGATTCGCGAAAGGTGTATGTAAGATCTTGCGTTTTTTTTATTTTTTTTCTTCTCTTTCGTTCTCTTCTCCGTTTCACGCGCTAATGATCTCACGTTCGATTTCTTATGAGAGTTAAAAATACTTTACGATGAATTTTTTTGTGTTCTTTTCAAATTAGAAACTTTTCTTGGTATTACTATTAGCAATGAATAATTGCGCCAATGGTGGATATGAGATTTTAAAAAACAAATCCTTGAACAAGGGATGAGGATTGATCGATTGTGATCAGATTGAATTAACAACTTAACTAATTGGTTAATTCTACAAATGATGATATAGACGGTGTTAAAACATCACGTGTCTGTAGGAGAGTCTCACCTTGAACGTTATGCAACTCGTTTATTAACATACTCATATCTATGTTGACTGGGGTTGGTTCATAGAAAAACTACGCTGCATTCGTGTCTAATAAATTGGTTTAAACGGTGTCAGTGTCTAATAAATTAAAAATTCTATGGAATTATTTTTTTCTCTTTGCTAGTTGAGATTGTTCTTTTGGTTTCAATCATTTTGACTAGACAGTGTCTTAAGAAGCTTAAGAAAATTTTTAAGAAGTTTCATGATGAAAAGAATAATGGAATAGAAATTTTAACAATAGCAAAAATCGCTGAAATTATACTGATATCAAAGAAAAGTATTTTAGCAATAAACGAAGAAGACAATGATAGTAAAAAATAAGATCCAACAGTAAAAAGCAATAATACAAATAATACTTTGAAAGAAATAAACAAAGGAAATACTAAGAACAGTTAAAAGTTTCGGATCGTTATCTTCTTTCAGTTCCTGTTGGTTCACTTGGCTAAACCCCTCGAACTTTGACGCTTGACTGATTTTACAATATATCATGAAGAATACTATATTGCGTTTATATATTAACGATCATCTAATTGAATTGTCTTATACGATATATACGATATATATATAGAGAAGATGATTAGAAGATGGCATTTTATTCGAAATCGTAAAATATTGACGAAAATCTGATTGAAGAAAGGAACACGCGTATAATTAAATATATGACGAAGGTTGGCTTGTTTCCATCATCGATCATCGAGAATTCTTTCGCAGTTCGAAATTGGTGGCGAAAGTTGTTGACATTATCCAGGGTATGAGTACGCGCATGATTACGTTCTCGAATGCGCCAACGTTCTTTCATTATTCATGACGGGAACTTCTCAGTAATTATACATTTTAATGATTTGTAAATGGTTTCTTTATTGCCTTGCAGTCCAGGATCGGTACATTGTTCTTCTGCAGAAAATATTCCTGAACGTTGCCTGTAATTTTTTACAAAGCAAGAAAGTTGAACGAAGAGATGTTCGTTACGGTGAACGGTTTAGAAAAGATACTCTGCCCATTGCTAAACTGGATACTCGGTAATGCGATATTTTGCATGTACACGCATTATTCGAAGTGGAATTCAGAAAAAGCCACCTGTCTGAATGATTTCTATATTCTTCACGATTTTCGTGAAGATACGTTGAAGAAATCGGATGCAAAACTTCTTTCTTGAATTTATAATTTAATTTTGTATCCTTCTCTTTTCCACAAATATCTACACCGACACGAATGACGAAACAGTAATATACGGTATGTATGGTATAAAATAAAAATGAATCTTCACGCAATAATTATGCTTGTTGCATAAGTAGAATCGAGTTAATATTAAATTTCGTTCGAAGTAAATTAACGTAATGTATTTCAGGTATGCGCCTACTCGTAGAGAGTTTGAACAGACTTTCATCCTAATAGATCAGGCAGATCACCGTTAATCGTACACTCTTGCCAAGAGATATTTATTTGACGTATCCGCGTAAATATCATGCATGTGAAAGGGACGCTTACCCCTATCGTGCATGAAACACGATACACGATACACATGTTGCGCGTGCAAGCTGCGCGTGTCACGCTTGGCATTCTTTTGCTTCCGATTCTTTTTGTTCTTCCGTCGGTCAGGAAGCGTCGTAAGGATATACTATATCAAGCACGAGCCAAGTTTCAAACGGAACACTGAGTATAGATGATGGCGTAAGCTGTTCGTGCAACAGGTGTTTGTACGAACCGGCAATTGAAATGTACAGTCGAACAAATATACATGTTCGCATAATTTGATGTGTGAGAAGTTATGCCGAGGAGTTATAAGATCTGAGTGAGCACGATTGTAAAAGTGTGAGTTTCAAAGCGGTAATTATCAAGACTTCCTGCAAACTCTCCATTGTCGTTAGCAGAGAGAGAGAGAGAGAGCCAAGATTTAAACCGAATTCGATCGCGTTGTTTCTTTCTCGAGTGATTCGTTTGACATGAACTCTCTTCGCTTTCGTGATGAGCATAACGATGGGAAATCATTGTGTCACCGAGAATCGCGGGGCCCAGTTCTCATGAATCGCAAGACCCGACGTGTAGGACGAATGCATGCAAGCTGAACGCGATTCGAGAGAACGACAAAGAAGGTGGTTGTGCGAGTTGGACGGAAAGGGATCATGGTATAGGTGAAGGAAGGTAGGGCAAGTCACGGAAAGGCATACCATTCCGGGTTTCATTCCGGCGGCATGGTGTGTTCGCGTAGCAAACCGCGGCAACATACAGCAATATACAATACTCACGGGCCAGGCAAACGGTTTCGTCCGACCTCTTTATGGTTACGTGGGAGGAATAGGAAGTCGTGCATTAAATCCGAACGTCCACTTTTCAACGCTTAAACGCTTCTCAAATAGAATGTATAGGATACCGGCGTGAACCGGCACGCTGTGCTCACAAAAGCAAGATCGTGATTGCGCTCATTTTTCAGTTAACACACGAAGAATTCTCCTTCTTTCTTGTTAACCTCTTTCTGCTCGAGTTACTTTGAAACCGGCCGTTCCAACAAAATAGATCAACCTCGGAAAGGAATTCGATGCGATCCCTCGAAATTTCATCCGGCGGATCAGCGTCGTTACGCGATAAAGAAGTCGAGGCGTGGTTCCAACGATCGATAATGATGCATATTGTGTTGAATGCAAGACGCATTGAACCCGCACAGACTCCTGTGCTCTTTAAGTAACGCGTCAATGCACATCTGATTTAATTGAATATATACAGTGGTCGCTAAGTGTAAATAGTGTCATGTGCGAGATGATGAAACGCGAAAGGATTTAGCCTTCGTATCCAAGGCTGACTTCTTGAACGGCGAACAATCGTCTATACTTTAAGCCGGTTTTACGCGGTTTACCAATCCAATGGGGGAACAATGTGCCGGTTGATAGCGATATTTATAGCGTTATGGTTCCTCTTCTCTTGGTCATCGTTGCTATCCAAATTTTTTTCCCTTATTTGAGTAAGGTTTTCGAGAGAAACGAGTCGACAATCGTAGTAGCTATTAAGGACGAAGTGTTTGCATCGATGCTCATTATGTAAAATACAAGTGACGGGAAATGTTTCTCCAAATGAATATACATAGTATATTCTCAACATATATTGTTATGCACATTATATTGTTATATTGTATCTATATTGCATTGCGTAGAAATTTTATTTCTACGATTCCAAGCATCAAATCCGATATTAAAAATAATTTTTTCTTCGATCAATTCTTTACAGGTGCCGGTGAATAGGAACATATTAAAAAGCCGACAATATGAGAAACTCAACGTTATTGAAATGGGCACAGAATTCAGCGAATAGTAAAAACCAAACGAGCAAAAATGGTGAGAAGATTTTTTTTATGATTGCACGCGTGATATAAAGGTTGTGCGATAAAATTGATAATTTTTATTTATAGGAACGAATAGGAACTGGATACACCCACCAGATGCACTCCAAAAAGGTCACATCGCCTACTTAGTCAAGGTAAAATTTTCCTTTCATCGACAAAGAAAATATAACAGTTTTAATAATCATTTAAAAAAAAAAAGAAATCGATATTCATTATTCATTGAAACTTTAAATAATTCTCTATAAACTTTATAATAATGTTTTAACGATATCAAAATCGTGATATGGAAATATAGCAATGTGGTAAGATTGTTTTCTGTTATAAAATTGGCAGATTGTAAATAAAAATAAAGAAATTCTGATCTCGATGTTATCCACTCAATATTTATCCAGATCAGTCTTTCTCGAAATGTCAAGATCACGATGCTCTGCTTAGTCATTATCTATAAAGGGATGGTGGAAAATTACAGTTAATATATTAAAGAAATAAACTTGAGTCTCTAATAGACTAAACAAAAATTTCTGGAACTAATCTTGGATCGCTTGATTTACGTAAATTACTCAAATGGAGTTGCTATTTTTTTTTTCTGCCGATAACGTATATCGACGAAGATATGGAGGAAATTATTCATTCCGTCAAGTCATTTAACATTTTGTTTGAGCGCAAATCTTAAATATAAATTGCAAGAAAATAAACATTATGTTTATTTATCATCGATATTACTTTAGCGTGACAAGACCATTATTTTTTTAAATTTTGAAAATAAAGAAAAAACATTTAATTTAATTTAGCAGGCATTGCTTAAATTTAGGAAAAATTTATAGGAATTTTTTCCAATAAGTTGAAAAAATTATATAATTATATTTTGGATATATATATATATATTCTATAAATTAAGAATAGATATATGCATGGCCAGAATGAAACTAGTTGAAGTTAAAACGAACAAAATAATGAATATATAGATTTCACTATTCTATCAAGTGAAACAAATTAACTACCATTCATGTTTTTTCCAATTATTATTTATAATTTGTAATTTTTGAATATATGATATATTTTTTTATGAAATATTTAATGTCGTTTTTTAACATAATCTTAAAAATATTAAAAATTAGCGATTTGAATTAAATTATAGACGATGAAGTTATATATGTCAAAAAAAGTCTCTTCGTTTTAAAGATAAAACTACTAAATCAATTAATGTTACAAATTACTAATTGCGTGAACGCATTACATTGTCGATGTTATATATCGTCTTGACCATTGATCTCGATGTCATAATATGTATATATCTTTTCTCTATAGTATATCGGACAAGCAGATATTATGAGGCAATGGTTTATGATAATGCAAATATATATATATATATATATGTCGAGAAATATACATATAAAAGAAATGCAAGACGAATAACATACAACGCAATATTTGCACATTGAGTGTAACAAATTTTCTTTTCTTTACTTATATTTTGATTTATATTTTGATTTTCTCATTCATTGATTATATTTTTTTAGTATTTGGGCAGCACAGAAGTGGATCAACCCAAAGGTATTGAAGTTGTTAAAGAAGCCATTTGTAAATTGAAATTTAATCAACAATTAAGGAAAAGTGAAGGTACGAAGACGCCAAAAGTGGAACTCACTATAAGCATTGATGGTGTTGCCATTCAAGAACCTAAAACGAAAACTTCGTCAAAAGTATTACAAATTTTTAATATTTAATATTGATGATTAATATTGATGTATCATTATTTTATAAATTTTCTGAATTAATGGTTTCCTTTTAGCGGATTATGCACCAATATCCACTGCATAGAATATCATACTGTGCTGATGATAAAGGCGAAAAAAAATTCTTCAGCTTTATCGCAAAAGAAGAAGGTGCCGAGAGACATACATGTTTCGTCTTTGTTAGCGATAAATTAGCTGAAGAGATCACGTTGACAATTGGTCAAGCATTTGATTTAGCTTATAGGCGATTCTTAGAAACATCTGGAAAAGATTTAGAAACACAAAGGCGTTGCATGATATTACAACAAAAAATAAAACGATTAGAACATGAAAATAATGTATATCGTCAGCGGTTACAAGACATAGCTGCTATTAAAGGATCGGTTAGTTTAAAAAATATATATTTAAAAAAGAATATCTTAAACAATTTTTTTTAAATTATGTTTTTAAATTATAATTTCATAAGAATTTCTTGTCTTCAGGCTGATGTGTCAGCATATTTGTCACAACACAATCTTCCGGATATCCTGCACGTGCCTGGGACTACAAATGAAACAGTGCAAGTAAATGGATTGGGAAATAAATCTTCTCTTGGTTTAAACAATGATAGCAATGGAAATACTTCCAATGGATCTCAACAACCACCTCCAGTTCCTCCAAGAAGTTTTGAAAAAACGTTTGACGATAATTTTATGGGGTATATAGAAATATTTTAATAAATGTATTTTAAGATTTTAGAATATTTATTATTTAATGATTTTATATAAATAGAAATGAACCTACTCCTACACCATCAGTTGGTACCAAATTGGAAGGACTTTTGATGGATGAATTTGAGGAAGATTTTAATCCTAGAGCATATGAAAGTGCGATCAATGGCTTGGCGAATCATCAAACGAATCATAATAATCTTCTAAATAGTCAAGTATCTTCGAATTCCAATTTTTTCTCACAAAGCAATGGTACTACAAGTCCTCCACCATTATGTAAGTTAATTATTTTTTATTTTTAGTAATAAAAGTTAAATGTCTACTACATATTTTTCATATTATTTAGTGGCTCCACCACCAAAAGCAAAGGATTCAAGACGTCAAAATGGAGTAAAAGAAGATTTATTTGGTAGCATTCCTTTCAATCCCACACCACCCGTAAATACAAAAAATGAATTCAATGATCCATTTGAAATGGGTGAATTCGGAGCTACAACAACTATTTCTAATCCTAGCCAACAAGAATTAGAAAATGCGATTGGTCTCTTAGATAAGAAATTACTCGAAATGAAGGTATAATTCATAAATAATATATTTGATATATACATTTATAGGTATTGTTAATATTTAACATATTTCAGGATGGTTTTAGTAGGGGCTTATCAATTGATACTGACGATTTCTCGTTGGAAAGTTTGGATCCACTGCGAAATTAAATTAAATGTTTTTTTTTAAAGAAAAAGGCAATTATCATTATTATATGTATATTGAAAAGTATAAAAGTCAAAAAAATGAATAGGCAAATTACATATATTACAGCAAATTACAGAAATATACATTTATGCAAAACCAAAATTAAAATTAGTCAATTACTATTATTATAATTATGCTAATTGTATATTTATCATGATATTTGATATTTATGATATGCCTATTGAACGTTGATAATAATTTTGGTTTCAATATCAGGAGACTTTCAAATATTAAAAGTATAAGAAAACAAATGGTATTAATATTTGTATAATGTACCTTTATTAATATCATTTGTTTTTTTTTTTGTAAAAATTTGAATTATTATAACATCTTAAGAATATAATAATACGAGAATTTCTTATTGCAATTTATCATAAATCAAATGACAAATTTTCATATCAAATGTTTTCCTTCTTTCCACATTTATAAATAAATAAACCAACTATTGTGCCTTTCATTAGTATTTAATGAGCTAAACTGAAATTTGTCTTTAAGCTCATAAATTTAGTTTTGTTGTTGAAGTTATTATTCATAACATATAAATTTTATTATAAAAAATAATCATAAAATAGAAAAATTCATAGATAAAATATTTTCTGTATAAAATATTTTAGCACTTTTTTCAATTATATTCCTATATTCCTCTATAAGAATATACAGAATTTAGAATCATGTGATATTATTATTGTTTTTTAAAATCGATTAAATATGGCATCACTCTGAAAATAAAATATGATTGCCTTCATTATTATTATAGTCTAATTAAACAAAAATTAATACTATATTTTTATGTAAACATAATCGAACATTTATATGCATTTTTTCTGAATTAACAAAAGAAAAAATGTTAAAACTAACTGGAATAGTAGTAAAGACTATTATTAGATGATTGTATATCTAATATATAAATCTTTTTTATAGATTTTTCAATCCTCTTCTACCTGTTTTTCCATTTTCTATTATATTCATTTATCATCAATAAATAAAGGAAATATAAAGGAATGAAAATATAAAGAAAGCGTGAAATGAATGTCGTGATATAAAAAATCTTAAATATAAATTTTATAGACTTATATATACATCATACATACATCATGCAATGTTCAAGATTATAAAAATTAATGTTTGTTACAATAAGAGGAAAATTATTAATTATGTACATATGAAATGCTGTTTTATTGTTGCTCTATTGTTTAAGCATTATCATTAAAAATATAATGCATAAATAATGTAGCTGACAAATTTGTTTTATTTAACCTATATTTACTTCAATTCCTTAATTTTAATATGAAACGAAAAAATTTTTTATTTGAATTTCAAATAATCGAATTTTAAATATCGATAGTTTCTATTCGATATATTGAAGATTGATGGTGTGATAATATCGATTCTCGATATATTTGAATACGATTAATACGTTATTAATTCGTTTGTTTCTTTAATTATCGGTTAATTTTATATAAAATATTAAGATAATTTTAAGATTATATTAATGTAATAAAAAGATATTAAAAATTGTTTAAATAATTATTTATTTATAAAATAACTATGTTTAATAATTATTAAATACAAAGCAAGAACAGTAAAAAAATAATTAATACTTTAAATTATGATATGTTTCTATTTATGATTTCTATTACGATAATTATATATTAATTATATATATATTTATATCAGTAATTTAATTGCTTTTGTGAATATTATAAAATATTGGAATAAGAGTTTGCTAGAATACCGACTGAAATCAATAACAGAGAATTGAGAACTCTTCCGTAGTGAGGCGCTATTGTCGTGAACGTGGCGAGGCACGCGCTGCGTCAGTATTCCGCGAGCTTCCATCGCGTTCTGTTGCAGTTAATCGTTGAAGAAGGGAGGTACCTATCCTATTCGATAGTGAACTGCGGAGAACGAGAAAAAGTGCTATTCTTCTAAACAAGAAACTCCTAATTAAAGAATGGCGGACGACAGTCACGAGAACGGTACAAGCAACGGTGACGTACCTGAGATCGAGCTGATTATCAAGGTGAGTTTGTACCACGCGTGAAGTAAAGACGGGGAAGAAGGAAGAGATAGGAAAAAAAGGCGATCGTTTCGTGCACGATATGGGCGTGGAACAAACGACTGGTTTCTTCTTGTATTTTCTTCTTCTTTTCAATATTTTTTTTTTTCATTTGCCGATTAGGAACGCCACCGAAACAATCATCTGTGACAAAGATCCGTGTGCATCGTTTACCGTTTCGAAAATAAAGAAGCTGCTCTCAGTGACCATTGATCGTTTGCAAGTAGCGTCCAACCGCTTCTTTCATCTTTTATTTTCTTCATCCTTTTAGTGGCTTAGTTATTTGAACAAATCACCAATCAATCAGATGACTCAATTTCGATAAGTTGAACTTTAATATGCTTTTCGAATATGGTGGAACGTAACCATTGTTCGAAAGCTTTTCGTATTCCTTAATGATTAATTAAAATAAAAGCACAAGAGACATCAAGGAAAATATATACAGAACCATTTCGTGCAAAGAAATCAACATAACGCCAATAAAAATAGATATATATACATATACATATAAATGAGATTCTGGTTGACCGCGTTTTCTACGTCATTAGTTCTTCTCTAGAAGAAAGAAATGATTGATTCTTTATCTTGGAGTATATTTTTATGATAATGTATTTATTCGTTTTTACACGTATTGCATTTATTATTTTTTGTGATTACTTTTTCCCGCGTAATTCGTCACTGAAAATATAACAATTTCACACATTTATTATAGACATTCTAGAACCACAACGATGTATTTGCACGGGTCATATATTAATTTAACGAGATTAGAAGCATTCACACATAACCAAGCGAAGGATAAGAAAATAATGGCTGGAAGGTTCCGCTCTCCGTTCTTGTAATTAGCGATAAAAATAGACATGTATCGTGAAAATTAACTTTTGCTCTTCGATTTTCATTATCGAAAGATAACGAAAATAATCCAAATCTATTAATTCTCTTTTGAAATTAATTTTTTTATATTATCACAGATATTATTTTCGGAGCAACAATAGATAGATAATCGTCATAGATTCATACAACGTTCGATTTAATCGAGAACGAACTCGATTCCATTTCTTGGAACGTTCTTTCACCACATTTTCTGGGAAAACATCTCCTTAGAGGGAAAGAGGCTTCCTTCGATTGTCCAATTACGAGTTGTCGATTAAACTTTCGCCAATCGGATCGACTGAATCCGGCCTCGGATTTGCTTCACCTGTGTGTTGCTTTTAATCAAGCCTTCGCTATTTCAGGCAATGTCAAACGTTAATCTTATCGCATCTACTCGACTGAAAGTACAATTGTGTTAGAAATATTTTCTCATAAACAATTTTCTTCTTATCATTACTGGATCGTAATAAAAATAAATAAGCAGAAGAAAGAATGTATCGGAATTCATTTCACAACACATTTTATGAGATCATTCACAAGAATAATTATCAAACTATTATCAAGATTTTCCGATAAAAATATTATTCAAAATTAAAAATATTACAAAAATGAATTTAAACTTTTCGTAAATAGCATTGAAAATATTACTCTATAAACATTTAAATTTAATAGAATTTTTCAAAAGAAATTTATCCGATCGATCAAGATCTTCATATAAATATTTTCTATAAATAAAGATTTGAAATTGCATGTTCTTCCGTGAGCCTGATTTTCATGCTTCGAATACTACTGAATTTTTTTTTAATTGCACATTGACCCAGAAGAGAGATAAAGAGAAATAAAGAGAAATAAAGAGAAAGAACCTTATAAGTGGAACCCTACAGGAACAAGAGATAACCAACAATGTTCATTACAAGAAGAGATTTAATGGCAACTAGCCGACCTTGCACTCGGAAGGCGATCATGCGAGGTCTTCGTAAGTGTGTCAAACGGGATGAAACGACGGGGAGCTCGACGAGGTCCTCAAGATTCTACCGTTAAACGATGAACTCCTTTACCTTCCGCTTTCCTCGCCTTCTGGCTTTCCCCCGTGCGTAAACAGCTCCCCTTCCCTTCTTTCCTCTTCTTCATCCGCCATCATTCTCTCTTTACCTTCCTGATTACTTTGCATCGGCTTTCCTCGTGACCATGAATCTTTTAACTGTTAATATCGTCTCCATCTCGAAGATTAGTCATTCTTACGTTTTATTTGCATACCTGTGAAAAATGGTCGATGCATGAGCAATGAATGACAGAGAAAAGGAAAAAAGGACAAAGAATTAGAAGAACGAAATACAGGAATGTGTATGAAGTGATATTTAATTTATTCGTAAATAATAAATACATGCATGCAAATATTCTACGTTACACCACCATGCATAGGGAAGTATCGTGTGACTGAATGCGGTTATAAAAAATCGATCAGATGTTGCGGCTTAATCTTTCTTAAGGTCATTATGAGGGTTCTCGGTTAGGAGTAATAGATAGAATTATGTCTCGAATAAGTTATTTTTGTATCGTTATTATTTTGTATATCGTATTATACAAATAGGAAAAAAGAATTTTTTTCTAAATTTAATAGAATTTTTTAAAACGAGTTGTTTGTTAATTGGAATGAAGTGTATATATTTTATTTATATATTACATGATGTAATAAAAAAAAATGGAGAAAAATAATGATATAATATGTTGTACATTTAACATATATAAAAGATATATCATGAAATTATACTCATTAATACACGTATCTCAATGATAGTCATTGGCTTTTATTATATTCGCCTATTTACCATATGCTGTGCATTATACAGCAACTTGCCTGCTGATGACGTGTTGTATCCGTAAGCATTGTTCTCTTCCTTTTTACATTTTGTCCTCTTCTATACCGATATGCCGAAGCCAAGTATTCTAATCGCGTGTGCATTGCAGGTAAAAGACGAGAGAGCTTCGAAAACCGCTTGATACGTTCTATAAGTCTATTCGTCGGTCAAATTGAAACGGGAATCTCGTGTACCCATGCGAGGAGAAACTCGCTTATTTCAGAAGAAATCAGGAATTTGCTTCGGTCAAATATCAGCCACGCTTCTCATATTCGGCCCATTTACATTTTGGTAGCTTACTAGACAGAAATTGTCGATACGGGAATCACATTTGCCGCTATGAAAAGATATAATTTGATCACAATTAAATTTTTAAGCGTTCAAGAGAAAAAACGCAAATAACGAGCATAAGATTATTATTTTAGAAGATGAAAGACGTTCGATACTTCGTGACATTTGATCTAAGGTCACCGCTTTCCACGTCATTGATATTTGATGACACGTATCTCTTCGATGTTTTTCTTAATTGAACGAACTTGTGTTAAATGTTTATTCTATCGAGAAATCTCGTTTTTTTTAAGTACGATTATAATATATAATTTGCACGTCTATCTTATAATTGTTAATTACTATTTGTTAATCTGCTATTCATTGTATTTTCAAAAACACGGAACTGACCTGATACAAAGGTTACATTTTTGACCTTGGTCAAAAAATTGCCAAGCACACAACAAGAGACAAGTGACCACGCTCATTTCTCGAGGATCAAGGTATAACTTGCTCGCATCATTCGTTCTTAAAACTTGGAGGTCGGACTTACGTCATCGTGGAAAAAATAATCAGCCACGTGAATATCAACTATTCGAATTGGTTCTTTCTTTTTCATTAAAAAAACACAATGGTTGCTGGATTCGCTGTGGATGTCGTTACGATCGAAATCGAAATATGATTTTTTTGAAACTGAATGAAAATAGAAATGACGTTTCTGATAGGAACTGGCATATTGCCAGTTATCAATTTAATCAAATTTTGTACTGCTTTTATTTTTTTAGTAATTATTATGTATAATATGTAATAATTAATTATAATTATAATTATAATTATTAATTATAATTATTAATTATAATTATTATGCTGTATAGAATTTTTATTTTTATTTTTAAAAAAGTATGAAAATAAATTTATGTGATTTTTCATTATATTTCAACGAGTTTAAATAAAATGAATTTCTTTTTATAGCTATATGTGCGAACTAAAGCTTCTTCGTAGTATCTTTTAGTAAGAAAGAAAGCAGGGTGCGTCATCGAGGGGAATAAATAAACCGTGACATCGAGAAAATGAGAGCGGAGCGAGTACGCTAGATACTCTCAATTTGCTCGATCAACTGGAGAAAATAGATATCGTTTCATGTTTGCATCATTCGATGAAATTTTTATTGTTCACCAGTATTATTATTTTTAACAAAAAATCAGAAAAGAATCAATCAGAAAATTGATATTATTAATTATTAATGTGTGATAAATTGACAATGTGAATATATTTTTTGCAGGCTTCGACGATCGATGGTCGCCGAAAGGGTGCATGTCTCTTCTGTCAAGAGTACTTTATGGACTTGTATCTTCTTGCTGAATTGAAAACAATTTCTCTAAAAGTGACCACGGTCGACATGCAAAAACCGCCGCCTGATTTCCGCACCAACTTTCAGGCAACACCTCCGCCAATCTTAATCGATAACGGCGATGCGATATTAGAAAACGAGAAAATCGAACGACATATTATGAAAAACATTCCCGGTGGACATAATCTCTTCGTGCAGGATAAAGAAGTGGCTACCCTTGTTGAGAACTTGTTCAGTGTATGTTTAAAAACTGAAGTCGCTTTGCCAAGAAACTGCTACTTTCTCGCCAAGAGCAATCGCTCAATGTGTGACACGAACGTTTTTGTTTTAGAAACTGAAACTGTTATTGTTGAACGCAAAGGATAAGGATAAAGATCCAAAATCCTCGTCCCTGATGGCACACTTACGTAAAATCGACGAACATCTAGGCCGTAAGGGTACTCGTTTCCTCACAGGCGATACAATGTGCTGTTTCGATTGTGAACTTATGCCACGACTTCAACACATCAGGGTGGCCGGCAAATATTTTGCGGACTTTGAGATTCCTGAAACTCTAGTGCATCTCTGGCGATATATGCATCATATGTACAGGCTGGATGCCTTTTTACAAAGTTGTCCGGCTGATCAGGATATTATTAATCACTATAAGTTACAGCAGGTTGAATAAATTTAAAGAGATCTGAATTTTTTTTTTCTATCTTTTTTACTTTTGATATAATTTATATTTTATTGAAATTGTGTTATCGTTTCAGAGCATGAAAATGAAAAAGCACGAAGAGCTAGAGACTCCGACATTCACAACCAGTATCCCAATCGAGGTCAACGACGACTAGGCTGGACCTCTGCCGTCGGGTCTACGATCTCGTTACTTTGACGTAGAAAAGTCCTCGACATCGGTGTAGAAATAAGCAGTGTGAACAATGTGGCACACAAAATACATTTTTTTACAAAAGTTGCAGTTCTTCCAAGGAATGATTCTGCAGGAAGAGTTCACTATTTATCAGAAGTTATTGAAGTACTCTTAAAAAAGGTTCTATTATCTGGATTTGATTGTGCCGATTCGGCTACACCGATTTATATAAATTTTTCCTACGTATATTTGACAAATTATCGTCGACTCTTTTATGGCCTAAACTGATGCAGAACAAGTAGCTTTTTTACCGCAGAAAACAGTAGAAGATACGTATATGAGTGTATTAAGGCTTTCGAGAAACGATGTGTAAGCGTATCCAGAAAATTTAAACAATTTTTCCTTTCCTTTCTTTCCATTTTCTTTATCTTTTTTCTCTGGTACGTATGCATTTCATACGTAATATTCATATGAATAGCATTATTTTTAGAAAAAGTATTTTAATGTTTTACATATACTTTAGATCAAAGCTAACGTATTTTTTTTTCTTTTTAAAGATAATGTATTTCAATATTTTTGATGGCGCGTAATGTTAACACAAGTAGAAAATACGAGAGAGACGTATGCATTTGAATTATGATTAATACTTGTTTAAATTAATTATATTTCGTATATATTTCTTTATCATTTTTCTTTTGTTTTCTGGAAAGTGCATTGTATTTATCATACATCTAACGACTAATCAATAAACTGAATTAATGATGGTTATTCTTTAACAAACGTTTACATTGTCCATTATATTCCTTCAGCATATCAACCCCAATTTGAATATAAGAAAAGATATTCTAGTCTCGTGTAATTCACGTAATGATAAACTTAGTATTTTTTCGTATATTCAAAATATTTTTTATATAATCGTATTTGAATAAATTATAGTGCATACGTTTCTTCCAATTTCTACGCTACAGTCAGTCGAAAAATCCAAAAATACAAAGAATTTGTGATATGATCATTACAAATTTCTTTGCAAATATTATTCTCGTAATGATAAAAAAAATCATTATTTGAAAACAGCCAGTGCTTACTTTTCATTCAATATTATTCAGAAATCTAACAAATTCGGTATTTTATATTAGTTATTGTACTATTATTACTATTATATTGTAAATCGTTATTATAACTATTATATATATTGTACTATTTTGGTTTATACTTGTAGAAACGAATATATCAATATTTACATTGACTTTTAAGTTTATAGATATTTTTAATATCTTATTCATTTCCAACAAAAATTTGGAAAATATATTTTCTACATCATGATAGAATAGAATTTTCTAAAAATGAAAAGAAATATGTCTATATTAACGACGTTGCTATCTATTCGTATAAGTTTTAAAATAGCATACTCCTTCCCTTTCCTTGAGACTGATACTGATTATTACGACGTGTCTTCCATTCATAAATAGGGAAGCACTTGTCGTATGAGCGGCCATTTTGACTACGCAATCAATAAAACTTCTTTTATTTTGATATTTAAAAATGCAAACTTTCATATGAATGTTCGAAAATGAATAAATAATAAAATTAAATTAAAATATTCGAAGTATATAGAAATATTTTTGCTAAATAAAAAACATTTGAATGCATATAGTTTTTCAATCGATTAATGTCGTTTCAGTACGCAGTGCACAGCTGATCAGTGGTCCCAACGGACGGTCGCCGCTTGTTCGTGTTTTAAAATCTTCGAAAACGACTGAAAAGTTACTATTATCCGCGTGTCTGTACAGTGACAATTAAAATTTCACTTTTAAATACGTGAATAAAATTGCGGCATTTACAAAGTGTTTTTATCAAGTGTTCGAAGTGAACGATTACTGGTTTCTCGTTCGTTGGACATTTCCAATGGTTGCCGTCCGGTGAGTTTCAAGCTTACGATTTGAATTATACATCAAAGTATACATAATTCAAATTTAATTTGACTTTTCGAAGTCCTTTATTCTTCAATTTTCACAATATCAATAGTAAAAAAAATATAAAATCAATAAGAATGGAAACGAAAATATAATTTAATTTTTAGCTTAGTTTGTTCCATGCAATGAAATATATTAAATTGTATCGAGTATTATAATATATTAACAATATATTCGTATGGATTGATTTTCATTGATAAGTACATTGATATATCGAATATTCTTCTTATTTAGTTTTTATTTTTATTTTGTTTTCTAATTGATAGAGGTGTTGATTTTCAAATTATCGTAACTTATATAGTAACTTCGAGACAAATGTCAATCTTTTTGTTGATTGATGATGGACTTTCGTTAATCATTTCCATTTCTATATTATTGTTTTTTTTATATACGTACATTTTTTATCAAAATATGTGTAACTTAGTCTTTCTTTGTCGTTTGTTAAACAAGGAAATATCGTTACTCTTCTTAATAAGCTTTCTATAGGTAATTTCAAAAGTAAAGAATTGTTATAATTTTATTTTTTTCGAGCGTATCATAAATAAAAGGAACCAGGTCAATTGATTTTATGAATTCTAATCTTCAATTCTATTTTAGCTGTTCTGACATATATTATTCGATTTAAAAACTATAGTAATATTTAGTCGGTTAAAAAGTCTCGTTTTGAACAGTCATTGGAAAAGTAAACACTTTACTCTATGAATCGTAACAACAAAGATAATATTTATTTACATAAGCTTAAAGTTTGCTTCAAGTTATGTAACTATTTTTTAATAACTACAATATTTTGTAATTTTTGATATAATTAATCAGTGTTAATTCTTTAGCAATTATCCTGACTACCGGACTTTCGATCGGAAGATCGAAATTTAAATTTTTTGGCACATGTGGAAACGGAATTTAAAGGTCAACGATATATTTATAATAGCGTGAAAAAGCTGTTTAGTAGTTAATAAACAAGTTTTACGGATGTATGCAAATTATCGAAATCGTAAAGAATTAACGTCATATCAGGCATATCTGATATGTGTATATACTGATGTGTGTATATACAGGTAAAGGCGCGTTCACACTGTTAACGATTATCTTCTCGTGTTATCGATTGCCCTAAATTATAATCTACAACAACGATATTGGATAAATTACTTTAAAGTTGGATGAAAAACAAACGAATTGCAAGAAAAAGACTCGGAGTTAGTGATTAATATTCAAAAGGTTAATGTAATGGTTAACACTGACGTTTTCTACGTGAAAAAAAAGTATAATATTATTTTCAGGATAGTGTTTATTTTTACCTCGAGGCGTAACTTATCGTAGCTCTGCTTAACGTTAGCGTTGCGTCCCCCGTCAATTATTATTCTTGGTTCCTTATTTTTGTCTGCCACTAAGCTCGACGTACTTTTTTCTCTTTTTTTGCTCGTAGTAGTTTCAGTCGGCCATGATTACTGTGCTTTCATGCAGTTCTAAAATATTGCGCGTAAAACGACAAGTTATTGGCAAGCTCGATAATTTGCATATCTCGTTCTCGTGACTGGAAATGTAAATAATTGCGCGAATGAGAGACATGTCGGCTCTTTCTTGTGAATAAAAGCAATTATCATTATTAACCTTTAAAAATTTTTCTGATATTTTTAACTTTGCATTTATATAGTCGCGCATGTTACTTCCGTCTGATGGATATGCGGCTTTATGAAGCAACAGGTGTCAACTCAACTTGCATAGAATAATTTTCTATAGTTTTTACTCTTAATTAATATTATCATGTTAAAATATAATTGTAATTTCTTTATTTCTGTACCTCGTTGATCAGATTTTTTTTTATTGATTTATACAATTGTCATTTTAGGGCGGAAACGATTCGTTTGGCAGTGTGACATTTGTGCAGAGATATTGGAACAATTACGAACAATCGGAAAACGGGAGTAAAGGATATACAAAAAGAAACATCGAAAAATTATTCCAAATGCGTGAAAATACTCGTGGAATTTGCTTTTCCCTGCATTGCCAGGAGTAGACGAAAACAGCCACGCTGTGTCTCCTGGGTATTTCATGACACAAATATCTTCCCGGCATGTTGGAATTCCGCTTTTCCTTTTTCGCCTGTCCCGACGAACGACGTTCTCGTTCCCCTCTTAAAATCCCCTCTGTGTCACTGATAGAAACATCCTGCGTGTCTGGTGCAATTAAAAGATGCTTCTCCTTTGCTCTCAGGCCAAGGGAAAAATATATTCGTTCCGCTCCCGATCGAAACAGCAGCGCGAGAGCTGTCCATCGTCTCGAATCCCGCTTTGTAAGAATAAACGTATAATGTCATCGTTGGTCGTTGTCGAGGGAAAAGTCACATGTATCGCATGTATTTTCCGTTGATGAGGATTCCGTTTGGCAAAGCGAGTTCGGTAGAGATTTGCACAATCCTCGACGGGGTCGGAACGAATTCGATTCACTGTTGCATTTCCGCATCGAGTACCTGCCCACTCGCGTTTATTTGCATTTTCGTCATTTGCGTGTCGAACGACCGACTGTCTGGCAGACGTTGCCGGTACAACCAGCAAAAACGCGTGACAGATACAAAGTGACGCGAATGTAACTTTGTAACTTTAACTTTATACAAATACTTAGAACAAAAATACATATTTTATATTCGTATAAGAATGGTGAAGGAACTAGTAGAAGAATGGTAAAAAATCTTGCGATTCATAAGGATTCGTAACGGATATTTTTCGATAAGAACTTTGAATGCGTTTTTTTTTTTTTAAACACGTGCGTTTCGTTTGCCCGATTCGGAACACGATTAAGAAAGCCGCGGTTAGAAAGTAGCGGTGTTTAAAAGAAGATACTCCGATTAGGGCGAACGCTCTCTAATCGGAGGCTTGAATGTACGGCCGCGTGCCAATAAACAGTTTTCTCTCTGATTGATGCTTCACTCACCTGACATGCCGGCCTGCCAGGTGCTAGGCAACGGAAGAAAGAGAGTCGAATTATTAATTCTACCTAGGACTTTATTCTCTCACGTGGCTGGGTGCCAAGTGCGAATTGCACTCGCAAAGCTTCTAACCTCTTAGTTTCTTCCGATCGAGCGAACAACCCTCTCTCTACTCGCTTTTTCTGGATTTTCGGCACAGCCTTAACGCATCCACAATCGAAAATGCGTAGGAGTAGCTGCGAGTCGGACGGTACGTTGGTTTTCAATCTTATGCTTTTAAACGTGATTTCCTCGCTCTTTACGCGAATTTTCGGATGTTAATAATATTTCCTCAAGGTTTAACATCGGTTACAGTGTTTTTTTTTTCACGGTAGCTTTTAACGTTTTTTTTTTTTCTTTTTCCTCTACCACTAAACCGTAAATTGTAATTTTTGCCATTTTGCAAAGGGAGTCGACGGTATAAAGGTTAAATTGCTGAGAAATTTTTTCTTTTTCATAACTCGTAAGATCATTGAAAAGATCGATCCCTAAATTTTTCGATGCAACGATGCGCTTACGCGGACGGATAAGCGCATGCGTGCACGCGTGGGAGCGTGGCACGCGCAGTGCCGGCTAATTATGTGGCACTCCTACGTGCCACGCGGCACAGGTGTCCACCGTTTCTTTACTCGCTGCCAATTCCGTAACGTAACGGGTGTCTCTTGGAGTTATCGACTCGTAAAATCCTATTGAAACGCGAGGCAAGTTTTTCCTTGAAGCATCACTATATAGAATTTTCTTAGAATTTTAATCTCGTTTAAAATCGACAACGAATCGAAGCGGATATACACTACTCTACACATACCATACGAATTAGAAGTAATCGACGGAGAAGGATGATCGATAATCAACAATACGACATCAACAACAAAAGGCAAGATTTTCATTGGCGCATCTGGTATGTACACACCAGACTATAGGCGAATTCATCCTGTTGAAAAATGGGTCAAACAGTAATGGATTTAAATAATGAATGGCGCATCGTGAAAAGCGGAAATGCTCTCGTTCCTTTTTCCCTTTTCCTATGAGAGAGAGAGAGAGAGAGAGAGAGAGAGAGAGAGAGAGAGAGAGAGAGAGAGAG